CACAGGGGATCTCTTTAACAGGCAACTCTGGTGTGCATGGATGGCGTGTTGGTGCAGCAAGGTGGGTGTTGCTAGTGTGTGCTAGGGGTGGGGGTCTGCATGGGCCAGCCTCCATTGCACACGGGTTGGGGAGAGGGGTCAAACAAGATCCTATGAAGACTTGGTAAGCAACAGGCCTAGACTAAACCAACCCAGCTGACCCCTGACTGCTCCTGCTCAAAGCTCCTCCTGGGGACTCCTGGGGGTGCCCGTCCCCTCTGGGCCTCAGTTGGGGACAGGAAGTGCTGGCTGAGAGCTATCTCTCAGTGATGTGGGGCCCTGTCAAATCCATCAACCTTCCTTAGCCATCATCACAGAATCCCAAACCCCGGGGTTCTGCTTGAGTGTGGGCTACAGAGGTTGAAGAACTGGGAGGAAGCACAGCCTTGTTCCGCCCCAGCTAGAGGGTCTGGGCTGCTCCCACCAAGGCCTGGATGAGGCAGAGACATTTGCCTCAACCTACCCTCCTGATCTTCTCTTCCCAGCTGGCCAACTCCCTTTCCACTACTGCAGGCCTCGCCCTGCCCTCGCCTGGCCTGAGAAGCCTGGCTTGGACCTTAGCACCCAAGGTGACTGTTGCCTTGACCCCCTGGGCCCCACCTGTCTGCCCATCATCCTCTGCCAGCTCCATGATGGCCACAGGAACACAGCACCCAATGATCCGTGGCCCTGGTCTGTGCAGAGTTTGAGGTCTCCCTGTGGAGGCAGACATGGATGCGTGCTCAGCCACGGCCTTCTTCCTCTAGGCTGCCACCAGGACCGTGCTAACGTGTCTGCCAGCACTTCCTCACGGCTGCTTTGTGCCTCAGAGCCCCGCCTCGTGGCTGTTTGCGGAGCTTTCATGTATCTCCCTTGACCCGAAGGCTTGAGGGGATGCCGTGTCTCACTTACAGATGGGGCGGGAAGATTCATCTTTTTGGAAAAGCAAAAGAATGTAAAATGCCTTAAAGGGCACAGGGGGTAATTTCTAAATTTCCAGACATCATCTCAGAGAAGTGTAGTGCTCTGGGGTACGCCTGAATGTAATTGATGTAGCTCTCTGCAGCAGACATGTGTTTGTGTGTGTATGTGTACATGTAAACTGAGTCATGCGTGCACATGCGTTCAGTTCATTCACTGACCTAGACAATGAATGCTAACACTATCAAGCACTTAGTGTGTGCCAGTTGCTGCACTAGTGGGGTGGCTCATTTTACCATCACAATCCCTCTAAGGAGGTAGGCACTGTTATTGTTCCCATTTCCTAGAAGAAGAAACTGAGGCATAGGGAAATTCAGTCACTTGTCCAAGATCACGGAATAAGAGGCGCAGCAAGAATTCGAATCCAGGCAGCAGTCTGACCATGGAGCCCCGGTTTGGAACCACCACAGTGTTCATGTTCGTATGCCTATGTATGTGCATGTGTGTGTGCTTGTGCACACACATCCCCTTGGCCATGTGGTCTGCCCTGTGTGTGGGAGCTGCAGGAATGCAGAGGAGATTGCTGGGAGGGACTCCCCCACCTGCTCAGGCTGACTGTGCAGGCAAAAGAAGGTGTTATAAAGTGTGTAGACCAGGGTCTTGAAGCCAACCTGAAAATTCCAACCTTTAGGAGAGAGTGGGGTGGGTGTCATGGATCTGATGATTTCAACAGTTTTCTACTCAAGAAAAATGGAGCTCAGCGGGGGCAGAGCTTTATTGTCTTGAAAACTTGGTAGGAGGCAAGGTGTGAGTTTCCCGGGGAGATTTCGTGAACTGGTAGAGTCTGAAACAACCCACCAGATGTTTCCTGGCTCCCTCCCATCCTGTGTCTGTCCTGTCATCTGTCAGCCTGCCGTGCAGTTCATCCTGGATCCCTAAGAGCCTCACAGATGCTTCACCCCAAAGGCCCAAGTCACAGAGTCCCCCATGGAGGAAGTGCGCTGCTCCCTCTGGTGGAGCCTAGGCTGGAACAGGTTTGTTTCTTCCTGGAGGGAAAAGAACCCTCAGCAAGGCCCTGGAGAGAGGTGCCAGTGGCAGTAGCTTGTCCCAGAGGTTCTCTGGTGGAGCTGGAAGCTGCAACCTGGGGACTCTGGAGGTGCCATCACCAGCTTCCTCTCTTCAGACATGGATGCTCAGGTGCCACCTCTAGGCCATGGCTTTTCAAGTTCTGTTTGTAGGGGATGCTCTGTAATGCACAGTCTGGGAAACATTTTGGTCTGTGAGGGTCATTGATGCCTTCATAATATAAATAAATATAAAGGCAGTTCTGAAACAGTGGACTTCATCAGACCAAACTACACATGGTTTTGTAAAGTTTGTACCTGTCGGCACATCTCCGGTTTTACAAACCCTGACTATTGGGCCTTGTGGTGCAAGGAACAGGTTACAATCCCCTCCTGACTGCCCACCAGGTCCATGACTAAAACAAAATCCCAGGTTAGGGAATCACAGAGTGCAGCTAACTATTGGCTCTGGAATCGGTTTTCCAGGGTTCGAATCCTCCATAGCTCCATGTTTATGGTGAGCCTATGGGTCTGTAGCTATTAGGTTCCTCTCTCAATTCTCATGACAGTGTTGAGGGAAACTGAGGAGTTCTGCTGGCTAAGTCCGGGTTCTTGGTGTCTCAAACAAAGAATTGGATGAGACACGCCAGAGGTAAAAAACAAAGAGCAGTTTTATTTAACAAAGACAGAATATAGAATATACTCCAGAAAGGATGGAGCGGGCTGAAACGAGAGAGAATGGCTCAAGAGCACCTATGGGCACATTCCCGGGGGTTTAAGTCCTCCTGGCTGGATTCGTGTCATTTGGTCATTGGTTGAGCCCTGGTAATATCTGTTGATTGGCACCTTAGCTGGTGGGAGTTCATTGGTCCAATCGAATGGTGCCCAACGGGGGGGTGGGGGGAGCTCCCTACCTATCTCTGTCTTCTGCGGCTGTTTTTGCATGCGTGCATGCCTATGTCCAGTTTTCCTACTGCAAATAATGGGTTTCCTCTTCCCACTCTTGTCCTTTTCTAACTTCCCACTATAATAGTAGCTAACCCTTAGTGAGTGTGTGTCAGGCATTGCACTGAGTGCTTTACATGTGCCACCTGCTAAGACCCTCACAACAGCTCTAGCAGGTAGTTCTGTTATTGTACCCAGTGACCAGAGCAGACTAAGTCACTTGCCCAAGATCACACAACCGGTGAGAGAGTGATGCTGGGCAAGATACTTAACCTTTCTGAGCCTCAGTTTCCTCATCTGTAAAATGTGGTTATTTGTCCATTTGGGGTGTTGTGAGGATTAAGCGGGGCAATACACAGAGCAACTCGCAGAGTGCTGAGCACACAGTAAACATCAACGCAAAGGTGCTAAATAATAGAGCTAACACGAAGCCCAGCTGGAAGAGAGAGAACATACAAGGACTATAGTACCAATCACAGAAGTGCTCAAATAAACAAGTAATTAGCTCCTGAATGCTGGTGTTTCCTGAGTCTGATGTGAGCTGCCTGAGTACAGAGACTTTGTCCACCTTGTTCTCTGCTGGTTCCGGGCACAGGGTGGGTGCTTGGTGAAAGCTTGTTGAATGAATAAGTGAGGGACTGTGTTGGGGTTCCAAAGGGTTATTCACAGCATTGGGCAGGCCCCTTCCTGGCAACCCTGGCTCTCCTCTGCCTTGTGGATGTGATCCTAGCATACTTGCCTCGGTCCCTATGGGAAGGAAAGCTTCCCAAGCAAGGGCAAGCCTGGGTCTTGCCCACAGCTATCCAACCCTGGAGAAGATGCTCAGGGCCTGCGAGTGAAGAGGAACCTCCTCGTAGCCTGCCCTGGGTGCTGAAGTGTCCTTCTTTGTGAGCAGGAAATGGCAAGTGTTGGAGGTGGTTACAGACCCCAGGACAGCAAGTCAGCCAGCAGCAGTGCTGTGCCCTCAGTGCCTCGTGTACCCTGGAGTGGGTCTGGGGCCACGGTGACATCTGCGTTTGCAGGTCCCTCCCTCCATCACACAGATGAATATTGTTCCCAAACTGCACCCCGCTCTCTCCTCTCAGGGTGCACGGCAAGTGGCTGCTCATGCCCCACTCTTCCTGCTCCCTGAGAAAATCCTTCCACCCTTAGCCTGCCTGCCTCCTCGCCAGTTCCTAATGTGGAAAGACCACCCCCCACCAGTATATGACCCACCCTGAGAGAAATAACAACTGGGTTGGGTTCAACACAACCTTCCACTTATCCCGCACAGAATTAGTCCTGAAAGAGTCATTGCTCTGGGAAACCGTCCTTCGCCGAAGACCTTAGCCCTGGGGTAAGCCACAGCTTTGATCCAGGAGTGACAGAGGATGGGGAGCATGAGGATGAGGACAATGACAGTGACAATGCAGGCAGGCCATCTCCCTGCTCCCATCCTCGGCAGGCCCAGAGCTCTGCCTGCATCCTTTCCAGAAATGTGAGCCCCCACCTTTCAATTTCCTCTTCTACCTCTTCCACACTTCCTGCCCCCGCCTCTGCATGACAGCGTGCTGTGCGTGCGGCCCATCTGGGGATCGAGGAATTCTACTGGGTATGCCAGCTTAATGAAATACTTGCAGTTTATTAAACACAGGCTTCCCTAAGCCCCGAGTGCCTGTGGGTATTCGAAAGCTGAAGGCAACCCCGAGCTACCACAGACGTAATTGTTACATGTGTCCATGCATTCCTGGGGCAACCTCAAACTCCTGCTCTTGAGCAGCACACAAAATGAGCAACATAAAGTAACTCCTAGTCAGATATGAAGGGGAAACGTGGGGAAATGCTGAGAGAGGCTCCCCAGAACCCCTCAGGGCCTCTAAAAGTATATGAAGTTCCCATTACGTCACATAGCTCTAGCCTTGGAGGCCGCTTCTCCACCCCCAGGCTGCTCTGTGTTTGCAGAATTGGTTCATTACAGTGAGGCAGCCAGCAGGCCTCGCGTGTCGACCCCGCACAATGAAGCTCAAATATTTCAAGTCCCGTTTCAGCGAAGCCTTTCTCTTGGTGGTGGGGCTAGCAGAGTGCACTGTCTGGGGGCTCCCTCTGGAGCTGTATTTCTGATCTTCCTCCAGGGCTTGGCTGAAGAGGGCTGCCATGAGTCTGGGAAGAGCTGTGCGGAAACCCCAGTGGACCTGTAGTCCGCTGCCCTGAACCTGGGGGAGGCTGCTCCTGGAGGATGCTTTCCCATTCATCAGTCTCCTCGGCCTCGTGTCTGTAAATCAGGGGCGATGGGCTGAGATGCAAGCAGCAGACAAAGGCTTCGAGGGAGGTGCCTCCCTCTACATGGACCACCATCTGGACGCCGGAGAAGGAGACCCTGTTGATGGCACTCAGGGGGACCTGGTCCAGATAGCTCAGCATCAGCCTATTGACCCAAACAGAACCTTTGGAGCTCAGGGCCTTGAGGCAGGAGCCCAGCACAGCACTGCCCTCTTCCAGGTAGGGCTCCAGGGACAGGTGTCAGTGGGTGAACTGGGGGAGCTGCAGCCAGAGGTGTGTGTCCTGACCCTGCCAGATGAGCAACAGGCTGGTGTCATGCTGCAGCTGTGATAAGACATTGGTGAAAGTGGCTGGACCCAGTGTGGGGTGGTGCAGACTCACGTGCAGGACTGTGAGGGGCCTCTAAATGGATGAGAGCCTGTGAAGGATGGAACACAGGCACACAGGCCTGGCTGGAGCCAGACACACCTCTCTGACTCCCTGCCCACCTCAGGGACCCTAGGCCACATCTAGACAAACAGAGCCATGTGCCCATGGATTCAATCATCCTGGAGCCAAGGCTGGAACTGGTGTGGAAGGCCAGGCTCACTGGTTCTAGCTCTAGCTTCATCTTCCCCACGCTCTTGCCACCCCTGCCCCTGCCCTTTGAATTTTAGTTTTCAATACTATAGCTATGTTCATCCTTTTCTATGAAAGGGTTAAGGTACATTGGCTTGCAGGGTGAGGTTTTGGTGGTTTATTGATCATTTAGGGACAATTTGGCACTGACTTATGGGAAGGGGAGGGTGGACAGACAGGCCATACCTTCCTTATGTCTGATGGTCACACGGCAACCCTTGCTGAGTCCTCCTTTGAGCTGGGCTATAAAAGTTGGGTTTTTAAAAATCTGTTTGAAGGCCTTAGAGGGCATCAAGGCAGTTAGGACTTGAAGGGGCAAGACCTCAGTGAGAAGGAAAACCCATTAATGTAAGCCTGATGTCCTACCTCTCTTCCCTGCAAGGCATTTGCCAGTTCAAAAGTGACACAGGCATAGAGGCTGAGCAGAAAGCGACAGCTGAAAACTCTCAAGAGTCTTATAGGACAGGGGAGACACAAATTGGACTTGAAAGGCCAGGAACCTAGATAAAAGAGAACCACAGAGAAGTGAGCTCATCATTCCTCTGTTCTACCTTCAAGACATCTGCTGATTTCAAAACTGGTGGAATGAGAGGCTGAGAAACCAAGTAAAAGCAAGAATTAAAAGGCTGAGAAGACAAGCAGAGCTTCTGGTTGTCTCACGATGCTGGAGAGGCCAGAATCGCAGTTCAGGGCCAGCCAAGGAAAGAGGGTCCTGTTAAAACCCAGGCTTTCAACTGAGACCCCCGTGCATCTAGGATCAAGGACAAACCAAAATAGACCAGACGTTAGGAAGACTGAAATCCAGCCTCAAATGATTTCAATCTCTCTTCTCTAACTGCCTTCTAGAAAAAAAATTAAATTCTTGCTAGACAAAGTTAATGTCATATAGAACCTCTACCATTTTTTAACAGTGCTCCACAATTAATGAAAAGTTACCAGGCATGCCTTAAAGGGGACCAGCTGTTTAAAAAACCAGAGAAAAAACACAACAGAAACAACCTCCTTATGTACGTCCACAAAGAGGCTTGCATGTGAATGTTCACAGCAATTTTACCCCATTCACCAAAAACTGGAAACAACTCAAATGTCTATCAACAGGAAAATGGATAAAGTTGTATAATATGTACACAATAAAACACTACACAGCAATAAAAAAGAATGAACTAATGATATGTAAAACAATGTAAATGAATCTCAAAAACATGATGTGGAATAAAAAAAAACAGGCACAAAAGGTACAGTCTGCGTGATTCCATTCGTATGAAGTACAAGAACAGGCAAAACCCACCTATGTTGATGATGGAGGTTGGAATACTGGATTATCTCTGCAGAGAGGATTGACTGGTGTGTGAGTTTACCAGGGCTGCCATGACAACGTACCACAAACTGGGGGCCTAAACAACAAAAATTTATTGTTGCATTTCTGAAGACTAGAAGTCCAAGATCAAGGTTTCCACAGGATTGATTTCTTCTGCGGGCTGTGTGAGAGAGAATGTGTTCCATACCTCTCACCCAGCTTCTGGTGCTTTGTTGCCCTTGACATTCTGTGGCTCGTAGAAGCATTACCCTAACCTCTGCCTTTAGCCTCACATGTTCTCCCTGTATGCGTGCCTGTCTCCAAATTTCCCCTTTATTTGAGGACACCAGTCTATTGAATAAAGGCCCACCATAACAACCCCATTTTAACCTGATTATGTTTGTAAAGACCCTATATCCAA